GGTCAGGAGAGGTCTGCCTCGCCATGTGGATCTCCTCCAGGGCAGGCGGGAATTGAACTCATGTGGAAGTGGCTTAAGCTTCTTAGTGCAATGCTTTATAACCCACTGCACCACCAGGGAGTTCCAGAAATTTATATTTTTATATTTTTCAGTTATAATGAAATGTTCTTCTTTTAAAAAATTAACTTTTTAAAATTCATGTTTCTCAATAATAATGATGGCACTTTTAATTTACACCTATGAACATCAGTTTACATAATAAAAGTCATCGCCGCTATGAATCAGTTTGCATAGTAAGTCATTACTTTTTTTTAAGGCTCTGAAATAACTTTATGAAACTAATATCAACCTTTTCCAGAGATAATCTTCGAAGTATGAAAGAAAAGACTGCCATGTTGAAGATCCATTGTTTCTCCCTTCAATTTGTCCTCTGCAACATCAATAAGGGCGAGTTCATCAGCCAAACCCTAAGGTACATAAAAGTTCTAAATAAAATATTCTGAAAACTGTGCCTACTTGAGTTTTAGAAGAATGAAAGGAATTTTTGTGTGGTCACTTTATATTCAAGTGCTACATTTCTCATAGAAAAAAATCTATTAAAATGATGCTTTTTGAAAGTGTCTAAAGTGATCATAAATCAAGGTAAACAATAGAATATAGGGTAAAAAATTAATTTTTTATCTTCAAATAATTGTCAATTTTTAAAGAATTTTTTCAGATACTTTTTTAAAACCAATGAGAAGTTGTAAAATTCTTTTCAAGGATTTTATTATATTTAACCACATGCCTAATTTCTGAGTTGGATGAAGCTGCTTTTGGTATGCATCCTGTGATTCAGTACAATAAAATTACATTGGCCCTCCAATCTAGGGGTAATGGGCATATAAACAAATCCAACCATTATTCTCCGTAACACTTTCCTCTGTACTATGTGGACGCTGCCAACCTTGAAACAATAAGGGAGCTCACACAGTGTGTCTGAGGGGTAGATGCTGACCCCAGCAGTTGTGTGGTACCGTCTCCCACAGGAGGTCACACATGCTTTCTTACATCTACCTACACCCTGAAACAGTTGAAAGACCAGGCCACTGCTGCAAAGGCTGTGGCCAAGGAGGAATTTCAGGGTGAATGGCCTGCTCCTACTTCCAGTTTACTGCTCCTAAACAGGAGGTCTTAAACTGGTGTGAAGTACAGGTGCCCTCTGTAGCTGCAGTTCTCCAGTGAATACTGGAGTGCTCAGCCTGCCACTTCAGACTGGTCTACAACTCCAACTTCTCAAGCCACTGAAAGGGTAGGAACAACGGAGTGGTCTTAAGCTGTTCTTACACAGATTTTTAAAAAGAAAATGGAAATAATGTTAATGGAGAATAAACAGTTTCCAAAAAAAAAAAAATCACAGCGGCATTTCTTGGGGGGAGGAGGGTAGAACATTAATGATGGTAACATATAATACTGTACAGGGACCACCACTCTGAGAGTTTTCTTCCAGATTATAAGAAAGTTCTCAGAAATAACTATATTTGCTATAGCCCGCCTCTGGGAGAATGAATGGAAGCATCAGCATCTGCTTTCAGGTCACTCACAGATTCAGTTTTGAGCAGTTTTTTAACATACTAATTTCTCAAGGTGAAACCACAAGCTAATCTCTTTCTCTGCATTCTCCACAGAATCACTGTCATGAAAAATGTTCCTGCCAAGTTGGATGCAAAAGTCCCTGTGATGTTCCCAGGCTTGGAGTCCACCGAGTTGGTCTTCCCAATCATCACTCCACCTGTCCAGAACATTCAGTCCCTCCAGATCATGGCAACCACTGACCCTGAGCACAGGTATTTCACCAGGCCAGCAAAGAAAGAACTGTCCTTCCAATCAAGGCAGTGTTCCTTGAAAGGATCTTCAGAAGCCTGTATGAATTTTACCAACAAGGTAGAATCCCTTCTGCTCAGAACTCTTGGTGACCTCTCCTACTAGGGCTTACATGACCACATTTGGCTTGATGGCGATGAGTAGGTGCTCACCGCTGGCCATTGTCCTTTCCAGCTGCTGTGGCTCAAACTCTGTCTGCGGCCATTGCCACTGGACCTAATGGCATTGTTTTAGTGAAATATAAAATTACATTCTAAAGTTCATATGGAATCCAAATAGCCAAAACAATCTTGAAAGAGAACAAAGTTGGAGGTTTCATGCTTCCTTTTTTACAAAACTTATTACATAGTTACAGTAAGCAAAACAATACGTTAATGACATGTCAGATATATAGGACAATGGAATAAAGTTCTAGAAATAAATTCTTATATATATTCAAATGATTTTTGATAGGGTATCAAGACACCCAGCAGGAAAAGGGCAACCTTTTCAACAAATAGTAACGGGATGACTCGATATTTGCACACAAAAGAATGAGTTGGACTCTTTACCTTAGACCATATACAAACAACTCAAAATGAATATACCTAATGTAAGACCTAAAACTGCTCTTAGAAAAAAACACAGGAGGAAAGCTTCATGAGGTTGTATGTGGGACTCATCATTTGGGTATGACAGCAAAAGCATAGGCAACAAAAATCAAGAGATACTTTGAACTACATTTTTTTTTTAATGAACACTAAAATTAACAAATGTCTGTGCACCAAAAGTCACAATCAGGATGAAAGGGAAACCTAGGGAATAGGAAAAAACATTCAAAAATTATGTTTCTGATAACAGATTAATTTCCAGAATAGAAAAAGGAACCCCATTTGATAACGGGCACAGAGCTCAAAAAGACATTTCTCCAGAGAAGACATTAAAAACTGTCAATAAGCAGGCATGCGAACAGATGCTCTTGAAACAGAAAATTAAAGATAATCCTTTATCTCATCAAATCTGGTACTTTTTGGTTTTACAATGAGCATGTTGTACAACTTTTTAAAGTATTTTACATATAAGCCATTAGGAAATAGGATTTTCACCCATTACTCTTTCAAAAAGGCAAGGCACTGAAGCATTTCCACAATGTTAGATTATGGAATAATCCAATCAGGGCCTCCTACTAAGAAAACCTAGCAATGCCTGACACCTGGTAAACTCCAAGTACATGTTCTAGAGAATCTATCAAAATCAGATGAGAGGATACATATTAATTCTACAACCCTAAACTTACAAACCTTTAAGGCCTAAAAGTGCATATTCGGTGTCCAACCTCGGGATGGGGTTGTCACTTACCTTCATTAGGATACTGATAGCACAAGCCATGCCCACAGCACCTGTTCCTACAATGCTGATCTTACTCTGAGAAACTTTATCTTCCGGAATTAGATTCTTAATAAGCTGCTCTTTGACAGTTGCCATCTCGAAAACCTGAGGGATAATGCAATTTTAAGATTAATTTCCCTAAATTAATCTCTCGGGTAGCCAAGTTGATACGGACCACTTTAACATCGAAGGAACACCCCACGGTTCCCTGTCCCATCGGATCTGAACGCTGGTCTCGATGGCAGCGGATAGGGGCACAGGATACTGAAACTAGTGTCACAGGGCTTGCGGTCAGCCCTAAGGCATGTGGACTGCTTTCAAACATGGTGGAATAAATTTTAAAAATTAACTGTCCAGATGGAGTGGGTGTGACGGGAGAAAGCGAGAACCTAGTCTAGCAACTGTGGGAACTGGGCACCCACAGTCCTCCCTGCACCCAGGCACCATGTTCACCCCAGTCCAGACACTCACGGGTGGCTCAGCCTGCTGCAATTCAGTGCAGGCAGCCTGAAGCCCCCCTTTCAGGAAAGACTTAAAACTAAAAACAAGAACAAAACTAACGGCAGGTGAGGTGCGAGGCCGACGACAGTTACTCGCTTACCTAGCTGCACGCACGTGCCCTCTAGAGTCTCTCTTACGTCAGCACGCAAGCTCCGCCCCCAGGCCAGCCAGTGCGCAGGCGCAATGTCAGCTACTCAAAGTCCTCTTGGACAGTGTGCGCCCTGGGTCTGGGTGTGGTGGTACCCACCCAATGTCGTTGTGTGGAATTATGTCTGGACGATTCTTAAGAGGTGGCCGAGGCCTGGAACTGAATTTAGGGGAGAGGTTTCATTGGAGACCCCCACAACCACCTGGCTGGATGGTGATGGGCCAACTGGAGACCCACACACACAAAAAATTGCTACTGGGAGCACCTGCTATATTTACAGTGATGCCAGCTCAAAGCAGGGTCATGAGGAGATTCCTGCCAAAGTGGTTGGTTGAGGAGATATCAAAAATGGGAAGCCAGCTTGAGAAGTGCCTCGAGCTCAGTGCCGGTGCCCACCTCAATGTGCCTGAGAAGTCATGCTGAAAGAGATCTTCAAGGATGAAAAGGAATGTAAGTAAAAAAGGGTGGGCTGGGAAATGACCAACCTGAGGTTGAGGATCATACGTTTTGATGTACTTAAATCTTGCCTTTATTCATGCAACCTGAAGTTTTTTTCTTTTATTTTATAATAGTTTATTTTTACCTATTTTGTGCATTTTTCCATCTCAGTTGCAATCCCCTTGGGTTCCCCCTCATCAGATCACCCATGTGACATCACCATAGTCCAGTGCATTTCCCTCCCCCCCACTGTTTTTGATCCCATCCTCCACTCCACCCCCACAAAATGTCTCTGGTATATAGCTGTTCGTCATTCTCATTATTTTCTTGCCTGTTCCGTTACATCCCTGCTATGAGTGAAATCATCCGGTGTTTTCCTTTTCTTTCTGGCTTATCTCACTAAGCATGATCTTTTCCAGCTCCATCCAAGTTGCTGCAAAAGACATGTGTTGTTGTTTTGATTGCTGAGTAATATTCCATTGTGTATATGTACCACATCTTTTTAATCCAGTCATCCATTTTTGGGCATTTGGGCTGTTTCCATGTCTTTCCAATTGTGAATAAAGCAGCAATAAACATGGGGGTGCAGGTATCTTTTTGAATCAGTGTTTTTGTGTCTTTTGGGTAGATACCTAGGAGTGGGATTGCCGGGTCATAGGGAAGCTCCATGTTAAGCAGTTTGAGGGACCTCCAAACAGTTTTCCATAGTGGTTGTACTAGTTTGCATTCCCACCAGCAATGCAGGAGAGTTCCTTTTTCTCCACATCCTAGCCAACATTTGTTGTTGCTAGTTGTTTGAAGATGTGTCATTCTCACCGGTTGAGGTGGCATCTCACATTTCCTGAAGTTTTAAAAAAGTATTATGCTCTGTAACTTCACAACACAGTAGTGAAATTTGAAATTCTTTTTAGAAAGTTTGAAAAGGAAAGGCCACATTTCATTCTGTAAGGGTGATTTAAATTTACATCAAGAATTTATGTCACAGAAGGGGATGCAACCTCCTCCATCTTTTGATGGGTATTTGCATTTGACAAGTTTAGACCTAAATAACCCATTTTCCATTTCATGGCCCATGTTATCATGTAATAACATAGCTTTAAAACATTTCAATGACTTTCTATTACAGTTAATCAATTTTTGTCACAATATAAAGGTTACTCAAGATTTGGCTTCTTATTAATTCCAGGTTCATCTCAAGACACACTCTTACCACAGTCCTCTGTAACATTTGGACATTTTTTTCTGAGCTCAGGCCTTTGTTAGTCTCTCTATTGGAAAAGTTCTTCCCCGGGTGCTTCTCATGGATGATTTGTTTTCAGTTTTGAGCCTAAGTGGTACTTTCTTGGACCAGGGTGACAACTACTATCATGTCCCTACATCTTATTTCCCTAATGGGGTTTTTCCTAATCTACTACCTGCCAAACAAGAAGTCTCCTCAAGTACATAGGAGTGGCAACTGCTGGTTGTGTCCCACCACTTGTGTGTATACTTCCAAGGAGTCCCAGGCCCTTGTGCCACATTTACAGCTGGACTGAAAGGGAGACATTGCTGGTCTGGATGACCTCCAAATTCCAGTTCTACTCTTGCTTCAACACCTAATGGCGATGAAGAAGGTGTCATGGTGGTAGTGACCAAACTACTCTAATAAAAAAAACAAGTATTTCATTTATACAGGGTATTGATTGAAAATGACTTAACATTTTGTTTAATTGCAATAATATAAATACAGGAGAGCCAAAGTTTGTTATGTATTTTCCAATATCCATCAAAGTATAGTAGGAATTCAGTAAGAATTTTGAAAACTATGGCTTGGACATCTACTTGTTTTATTTTAATGATTTACTTATTTATGCATATAGAACTGGGGTACAGGCTAGAGGTGCAGGGTCAGTGAGAGGATTCACCAGAGACAGATGGAGAGCACACAGGCAGACTGGCAAAGTGCTGCTGAAGGAAGAGGAGGGCAAGTCAGGAGAGGTCTGCTGTGCCATGTGAGTCAGCTCATTGGCCAGAATTGAACTCAAGCTGAAGTTGTGGCTTGCTTCATAGTGCTGCAGTTTAACCCGTTGCACCACCAGGGGGGGGCTCTAGTTTTATTTTAGCAACATAGGTTTTAGTAGAAACAGACCCACAGTATGGGAGATCTAAATTCTAAACATCCTGTTTGTTTTCTCCGCTGTCAGTTTGTGTGAAACGGATGATTGAGGCCTGCTTAATCTATTTTCCCAAGATTCTTGAGACTAAAATGATGTAATATCGTATTAGTAGGAATCAGGTGCCATGTAGATTTTGGCCTATTCCTTACCTGGGGCAGGAAAGTAGAAGGTAAACCTACAACACTTGTGGCAGAACAGGTTTGAAAAATTAGGAAAGATTAATCTTCCTCAAGAATATTGTCATTGACTATTGTAACAAGTAATATGAAATAAATGTAAATACATTTTTTAAGACTGAAAGTGTCTCAAAGTTTATAAAGGATTGTAGGATTAAATAGCTTTCTTTCTGGGGGTAATTAGAATGTTCTAAGCTTGTTGTAAAGGTTGCATGACTGTCAACATGCTAAAAACCCACTGAACTATATACACTATAAAAAGGTGAATTTTAAGGTATGTAAATTTTTTAAAAGATTTATTTATGCACACAGAACTGGGGTACAGGCCAGCGGTGCAATGGGTGGTGATAGGATTCACCAGAGAGAGAGGGGAGCAGAACAGGCAGACTGACACTGCCCAAGTACACTGCTGAGGGGAGCATTGGGTGAGACGAGAGGTCTGCCACGCCAGGTGGATCACCTCCCTTTAACTGTTGCACTGCCAGGGAGGCCTGATATGTAAATGTTTAAGGCTGTTTTAAGAAAAGAGCATATAGGAAAGCATATCAGGATTACATAGATGATCAGTTTTGTCCTTTACATTTTAAACAAGATTTTAAGTGATTATTTTCTTAACTAGATCTCAAAAGGAAACTTTTGTAAAGATAGTGGCTTAGCATACTAGCAGAGTGATGACAATAAAATCGTCCTAGTTAATCTAAGTTGGAAGGTGTTCCAACTTCAGGCCTAGATAACGGTCACAGTTACAGAAGTATTTTGAAGGAAATCTATAGAAAAAAATTTGAGTAAACAACCACCAGGACATTTGGTTAAAAATTAAGTATTATCATGTTACTAGCTTCTAGAAAGCAAGTATCATTTAAAATCGGTGCCTCTACAGTCCATGTACAACTGCTTATGTATAGATGGCAGATGCTTTTTACATTCACATGTAGAATGTTTCCTACAGGATGGGTCCTCCCTGGTGGTGCAGTGGGTTAAAGCACAGCACTATGAAGCTAGCCATAGCTGCTTCCCCATTAGGAAGGTGACCCACATGGTGCAGCAGACCTCTCCTGTCTCACCAGCTGCTCCCCAAAGCAGTGTACCATGTCAGTCTGCCTGTTCTACTCCCCACTCTGTCTCTGGTGAATCCTCTCACCACCCCTGCACCTCTGGCCTGTACCCCAGTTCTGTATGCATAAATAAATCTTTAAGATACCCTGAAGCTTAGTATGTTAAAATGAATGATTATAGGGCCTCCCTGATGGCACAGTGATTAAAGTCTCAGCACTATGAAGCTATCCACAGCCACTGCAGCCTGAGTGCAATCCCTGGCCAGGGAGCTACCCACATGGCACAGCAGACCTCTCCTGTCTTGCCCACTACTCCCCTCAAGCAATTTATTTCAGTAGACCCAACTCTTCTAATTCCTGCTCTTGTCTCTGGTGAATCCTATCATCCCCCACACCTTGGCCTATACCTCAGTTCTCGTATGCATAAATTTAAAAAAATAAAATTATAACGGAAATGATACCAAACAAAACAACTTCTTCAATCGAGTTGTATTGCTAATCTATTAATGCACATTAAATTCTGGTTATTATCAGTAGCTTAAAAAAATCACTTAATTGCTTAAGAATAATCTATCTTAGGCAATCACTCCTAATATAATGAATAAATAGCAGCTTTATGACTTCAAATCTTAATAAATCAACAGAGCAGTCACTGTTCAAGGTTTATTTGGTGTTTTATAATTGGTATTTCACTTGGATTGCTGGTTACATTGTTTCTATGTAGACTTTTCTTTTTTACATTACACAGGCAATGTACACATTTTGATACGTACAGTACACAGAATGACTGTTTATAAGAGTTATGCACAAGACATGCAATGTTGGATTTATACACTGAATCCAGGGTGTGCCTAACATGAGAAAAAAAAAGCAGGACTAGGCATGTTGAGCAAAGGAACCCAAGTATTTAGCACACATTTGGTCTGAAGGGCGGCTGCAGTAATGTGCACACTGGCAGTAGTGTTCCCAGGGTGGGGAACTATTTTACACTAACCAATTTAGCACTACCATGCAGCCATGATTCGTAAGGTTATACGAATCATTCCTGTTTCTAATTTAGGAAATTGGTGTGTTTTTTTTTAAGGCAGTCTTAATACTACTGCTTTAGGCACAAATCAGATAAAAGGGACAATATGCATATCTTCCAACTAAAATCCTGCTGTAACCTCAACAGTGGCGTAGTACAATATTAGAAGACTTTAAAACTGCAGCTCTTTTTGGATTCCCCAAAGTGTATCTGCACTCTTCTTCAGACGAGCCTCTTCCTCGGGTGTCAGATTCACCTTCACAACATCTGAGATGCCATTCTGTCCCAAGATGCAAGGTACACTGAGGAAGACATCATCTTTTATTCCATAGAGACCCTAAAAACAAAATGAAAACTATTTTACATTTCGCCTATACATGCAGGTTCGCCAAGACTTTCATTCTCTACAAAGATATTACTACAGTACAAATTTGTAAGTATTGTGGACAATGGCATATTTTTATGTTTTCTTTTAGAAAGTAAAATTTGCTATTTCAATGACTTTTATATTTTCATTACATTCTAAGTGAAAATCCAGAAAGGAGTTTCAACGTACAGTGTATTACATAAACTTTATTCAACTGAGTAGTTTCAGTTCACAAGTTACTAAGCATCTATTGGTAAACAGAGCTGTACAGCTCTTTAAAAAACAGTTGCAAGATTTCATGCCCATGGTTTCCAGGTGCTCACTCACCAGGCGCTGGGCCCGTAAGAAACCCTGGTGCACCTGGTTTCTTCTCTTTTTGTACCTGAGAGGGTTCTCAGTCTAGAGGGAAAGGAGCTCTTGTTTCTGGGAGTGCAAAGCTCACTGCCTTAAAAATGTTGCTGTATTACAATGGAATATTACTCAGTAATCAGAAAAGATGCCCATGCCTTTTGCAGCAACATGGATGGAGCTGGAAGGGATCATGCTTAGTGACATAAAGAAAGAAAGAAAGCCAGAAAGAAAAGGGAAAATACCAGATGGTTTCACTCATAGCAGGAGTATAAAGACCAGGGAAGAAAATAATAATAATGAGCAACTATATACCAGAGACATTTTACGGGATACATTGGGGAATTGGATCAAAAATGGGGGGGTAGTGCACTGGACTATGGTGATGGCACAGGTGATTTGGCGTTGAGAAGCCCACCCAGATTACAATTGAGATGGAAAAATGCACAAAATGATGTAAAAATCAACTAAACTATTATATTAAAAAATATTACTATAAACAAAAAAAACATTGTTGCAAGAGCATTATTTTATTACGCTTAAATCAATGACTGGATACTTACACTAATTACTTTCTCATAAAAATCTTTTTAAAAAAAACAGGAAATAACAGCATTGGGGTACAATCTATTATAACATTAACTGACCTTAATCATAGTGGAAATTGGATGCACCCGCCTTAGATTCTTCATTATACTCTCTGCCAAATCTGCCACAGATAATCCGATGGCCCACGATGTGTAGCCTTTCAGTTTGATCACCTCATAAGCACTATAGGGAAGGGAAGGGAAGGGTAGGAAAATGTAGGGTGGGATAAAGAACACAAAGCTATCACTGAAAACTTCCTTTATAGTGAATAATGCCTCAAAATTGCATTATCGCCTAAGAGGAACCCTTGTTCTGTATACCAGGATATTACGTATATAGGAATTTTCACATTATTCTCATTAATAACAAAAACCTGATGACAAATCATGTTCCCCAAAAGGAACCCTTTTGGGGTCTGTTCAGACAATGGAATATTACATAGTTGTCAAATAACTATAGTTATAGCAACAAAGTGAAGGACACTTTAGAATATAACATCAAATTTAAAAAGTAAACCCAAGATATTATGCATGGCCTGCTTGATTCTATTATCTCAAGTGTTTGTATGTGTCTCTGCGTGTTTTGGGGAGGGAAGAAGCAGAGGCAGCAGAATAAATGGGAGAAGATAATTCAGATAATTCACTCATTTCCATGCACCTACATACAGACTAGTAATTGTAATTATTCAACATGCTAAAGTTAGTTGACAACTATTATTTCTTGGGTTGGGTGGTAGGTTTGCTGATTTTATTTAATTAAACAAATACAAATAAGAAGGCTCTGCCTAGATCAACCAGAATCATTACTCAGTTTTATACACACACACACACACAAAGAGGTCCACATGTGACCATGTAATTTATATTAAGAAAGTAATGCAGGCCTTCCCTGGTAGCACAGTGGGTTGAAGCATAGCACTAAGAAACTAAAGCCACTTCAGCATGAGTTCGATTCCCAGGCCTAGAGGTGATCCACATGGTGTGGCAGACCTCACCTGACCTGCCCAATGCTCCCCTCAGTAGTGTAACAGATTCTAGCAAATAATATTTATGGTTTGGCACCATTATAAATCTAGCATTACTTCAAACAATAGTCATTTGAATAAACAAGAATTTAGCTGTTTGTAGTCATAAAAACAAAGATAGGAACTTGGAACTAACTATTCATATTCCAGAAACTACAACTGTATGCCACAACCTGATGAATCCTAACTGTATATAATACTGGTCAAAGAGCCCAATGCAAAGTAAATATAATATATATGGGCTGAAGGTCCTCCCTGGTGGAGCAACGGGGTAAAGCGCAACACTATGAACCTATCCACAGCCACTGCAGTATGAGTTTGATCCCTGGCCAGGGAGCTGACCCACATGGAATGGTGGACTTCTCCTGACCCACCCACTGGTCCCCTCAGCAGTGTATTTCAGATCTTCCTGTTCTGTTCCTCACTCTGCCTTTGGTGAATCCTCTCACCTCCCACACTTCTAGCCTGTACCCCAGTTCTTATAATTTGGCAAAATGGAAAATTAAAATGTATCATGTTTATGCAAAAATTTAAAGTTGAATAGCTCAGTCTTGGTATCATGGCAGCCAGGAAGTTGCTCAGCTCCTCTTCCTCTTTGCACAGATGTGTGCTGATGACCTTAAGGGCTCATCTGTGCTTGGAGACCTTAAGCTGGGTGCATGGCACACTGCCCATAGTGGGCAAAGTGTACACCTCCTGGATCATATGCCACACAAACTTGGAATGCTTGGTGATGTACTCTGGTGGCTGTGCCCCTGCTTGCTCACATTCTTGGTCACCCTTGTGGAGGCCCATGTCCTTGGGAAAGCTGTATTACCTGTCAACCACTTGTTTGTGAACCTCTTTCCACTGTTCCTTATCTGAATCAGTGCCCAAAGCAGGGTGCAGATTCTTCAGTGAGACACCGGCGACATTCACTCCACTCCAAACAGGCACTGAAGGAAAAAGTATAGAACACATTAATTTCCGTGCAGCAGCCAAACACTAATAACGATGACCCATTTTTCCAATTCTTTTTCCTTATAGATGGAGTGCTACTACCCTTTTGGTAGATTACCAAGACTACCAATATCCTTACATTTAGATTTTCATTGATCAAGAATCTTCACTAAGCACTGGCCTTTTTTCCTAACCTATTGAGATGGTTAATCTTTGTATACTATGACTCATATGGGGAATTTTCTTGATATAAAGAATTGAGAACTCCTGCACAAATTATAAAATCTTTCAATTGTGATAAAAGAGTTGTTTATGTACTCTATTTGGATTGACTAACGATTTCAGGGCCAAGCCGTTCCAGTCAAATACAAAGAAATATGAAACTATGTGACTAAGGTCATCCTATGAACTGTCTCATTTAATGTCCACAGAAAGAAAGAAAATAACTTTCCGCACCTCCCATGTTATAAAAATGTCTAAAATTTTAACAATTCTTAATATATAATTATTCCAAAAGAAAGGCTTCTGGGGCCTTTCCTGGTGGCAGATGGGTTAAAGCACAGCACTATGAAGCTGTCACAGCCACTGCAACACAAGTTTGATCCCCAGCCAGGGTCGGGCCTGCATGGTGTGGCAGACCTCTTCTGATCTGCCTGCTGCTCTGATCCTCTCAGCAGTGCACTTCAGTACATCTCCCTGTCTGTTCCCTGTCTCTGGTGAATCCTCTCACCCCCACACCTCTGGTCTGTACCCTAGTTCTGTATGCAAAATAAATCTTAAAAAAGAAAAGATTTCTGGAAATGATCCTACCCTGATGAATGGCTATGTGCTTTAGCTTCCAATTTAGTAATAAAACTCTTATCTATTTTTTACAGATTTTAAAAACAGAGGAAGTAACACTTACCACTGGAGTCTCCATGCTCCCCAAGGACCCACCCGTGACAGCTCAGTGGGTGAACTCCCAGCCTTTCCCCCATTAGGTAACGGAACCGGGCTGAATCCAGATTACAACCACTCCCAATAACACGATTTTTGGGAAAGCCACTTATCTTCCAAGCCACATAGGTCAAGATATCCACTATGAAGAAAACATGTAGGCAAAGATATTAGATAATGATTGACAACTCAAGACATAGCTCTATGTGCATATTGATACTGACTGTGACTAATCACTATTTTCTTAATATTTTTAAACTTGTATACTATGTACAATATAGCAAATGTGGTAAGTTTTCAAGGAATGCAGTTTAATGAAATAAATTTTATATCAGTTAAGAGAAAAATACATTCATAAACTTATCCACAACCTTTTTGGGCATGTAAATAATTTTAAACTTCTAACCACATTCAGAGGCACTGTTATTACCTTTACTTTTTTAAACCTGTTTTACAAAAACCAAATACTCAAAAGAGAAATCAATGTATATGGAGAATATAACACTGCTAGTACTATGATAGTTTGCCCATTTTTATGCAGATAGAAGTCTCACCTGGATTGGAAACAACAAGCAGCTTGCAGTTTGGGCTATATTTTACAACATTAGGGATGATGAATTTAAAGATGTTCACGTTGCGTTGGACCAAATTGAGACGGCTTTCTCCCTCTTGCTGACGTGCCCCCGCTGTGATGATAACCAGCTTGGAGTTTGCGGTCACACTATAGTCTAGATAAAGGGAAATAATAATCACATTTAGGCCTTTAAGAGAATTACATTGTCTAGTCAGCAAAAATTTATTCTAGAAAATTTTTTTAATGGGCAGTTTTTATTAGTATTCTTATACTGTATATGCAGTAGATAAATGCCTCTAATGTTCCTTAGACAACTAGTTTTATCAGTGACCATTTACATGGAAAGAGAGGACATCAGCACCATTCTTGTATTCTGATTTTAATCACATTGTGACTTTATATAATGATAATTGGGGCTGGGGAAGCTGGAAAATACTAACGACAGACATTATTTTCCAGGTTTCCTGGATAGTACTCAGTAAGTTTGAAAGGATCAAACCAAGAGTATTTGTTGAATATGCTCATTTATCCCATATGTATTAGTATATGAAAATAAATATATTTAAGTATTTGAAGCAATGTTAAATATGGACCTACAGAATGTAATGATCCTAATTACATTCTGAACTGGATGTTTCCTACAACACAGACAAATAGCATTGTCTTTTAAAATCACGTAATAGAAACTGAAATCTTAGTATCAGTAAGTACCAACAAAAACTGTTCAAAAGCTCTCTTATCCCATATAAAAAAGAAATCTGTGAAGCTTTGAAAAAAATCTGATGAAGAATTAAATCTAGCATGCACTACAATATGCAACTTGATTGATCAACCTTTGCCAGAGACAATTTTTGGTGTTCTAAGGAAAAGGCTGCCATGCTGGAGATCCATCATCTCTCCCTTCAGTTTGTCTTCCATGACATCAACAAGAGCAAGTTCATCTGCCAAGTCCTAAAAAGACAAAATTTTAATTACTACTTCAGAATTTTTAGAAGGGCATGCAAAAAGTTTCTACAATTCAGGCACAGTAATTCTGCTACTATATCGACATCAGGACATACCTCAAAGTAGAGAGGTTCCATTTAAAAGCTGACTCACAAATGACCCAAAACACAGGAAAAAGCACTGACCCACTGTCCTCAGCAGAGCAGCCTCTGGAGTTCCAGCATCCGGATATGGAAACAAACCACTCGACTGACTGTGGTTAATGTCCAGTTATATAACACTGTTTTAATTACTGCATCAAATTTAGTGATACACATTGCTTGTTACTCATTAAAACAGTGGAATTCATCTTTATTAAGATTTGGAAAAGTGATATCCTGGATCGTGTATTTTCCAAATATTAACCAACACTATCAGTTTTACATAGATAAATTTATGCATTGCAAATATTGGTGAGTTGAACATATGAAAGTTCAGAGGTGCATCCACACCAGGAACACCAACAGTAGCTTTAAAACAAATGTGGTGTAGATTAGTATAAGGAAGGGGTGTTGTACTAGCTGAGCTGTCAATCTACCCCAAATATATAATGTAATGAGGTGTCTGTCAGTTACTTTTTTTTAATGCATACAGAACTGGGGTACAGGACAGAGGTGCAAGGGCAGTAAGAAAATTCACCAGAGACAGAGTGAGGAACACAACAGGCAGATCAACGAAGTACACTGCTGAGGGGAGCAGCGGGCGGGTCAGGAGAGGTCTGCCACGCCATGTGGGTCACCTCTGGGGTGGGGGATCAAACAAAGCACACTAAAGCAGCTGCGGCTCACTTGCAGTGCTGAGTCCTAACCTGCTGTGCCACCAGGGAGGGCCCATCTGTCAGTTACTTTTAATCCATCACAAAAAAAGATTATCAGTGGCTCACTGGTGTAGAAAAATGGCATCAAAAATAATAAGATTTGGTATACTATGTGACTTCTCCTAAGTATGTTTACAGAGCAAACTGGTATAAAACTTTGGGAAAGTTTATTTCTGTTTCAGTCCATCCGCACTATCATCCTTTTCTGTTCGGAATTCATCATTTCACTCTCTTATTGGGAGCTTCATATATGAATTTAAGATATTTTAATACTGAAATTTCACTTTTTTATATAAACCAGGTTTGACTAGTTTAAAAAATGTTCATTTGTTGTTGTTGTTGTTTTTAATTAAATTTTAGTTGCATAATGGGTACTAAATTTTCTATTCAGGGCCTCCCTCATGGCCTAGTGGTTAGGTCTCAGTGCTACCACTGTGAAAGGCTCATGGTGGCGGTCTGCGCTCCATCCTTATCCAGGGAGCTGACCCACATGGTGCACAGACCTCTATTTCCACTGTTCCCCTTCACAATGTATGCCCGTTCTACTCCTCACTCTTGTCTCTGGCTATATCTAAGTTCTCCTATGCAAAAAAAATAAATTTTGGGAATAAAAAATAAAATTGCTGCCCAAGAAGAAAGCAATGGGGCTTTGTGTGGAATAAGACTTAAGATTTTCCCCCTCAGTATGATGTACATTTTACCAAATGTATAATTTTCCATCAAAATATCTTTAAAATAATTTCAGCTTATTTAGAAATGAACTCCTTTTAATTTCTAGATAATCAGTGCATCCTAATATAGCTCAATGGATTTAAGGAACTAGGTCTCCAGCCTAATAACCTTTTATTTTTGTTGTTGTTATTGATGCTCACATTCTCTTACGGTGTAGCAGCATCCCGTTTCAAAACCTATTTCACACACAAAGTTCTTTTTGAGTCTATGAACCAAAACATTTGTATATAGGAAATAATGCAATTCTTGGGGAGGAAGAGAAGACTGGGTGCTGTCAAGGCTTCCAGAATGGTGTGTTCTCACCTTCATTAAGATACTAATGGCACAGGCCATGCCAACAGCACCAACCCCAACAACGGTAATTTTATTCTGGGGGGTATGTTCTTCCGTAAGAAGATTCTGAATCAGCTGATCCTTGAGCGTTGTCATATTGGACTTAGAAGCAACAGGCACCTGTAAGGGGAAAATCAAGCACTGTTACTGTATCACTTGAAATTAACATTTATTACTAAAAAACTTTTCTGAAATGCTTATTTTACTTGGCATTAAATATAACAAAGGATGACTGGAAAGGAGAAGGAAAACAAGCTAACGATAGATAAAGGAGAATTAAAAGCCCGAATGACGGTCTGGTCTGCCTAGGATCTTGGTATGAAGGACCTCACCTTGGCATGGAAAAGTAATATCGATGTTTGGGTGTAAGTAAAACCTTTTGAGGATTCACTCATCTTGGCTTATTAAACCCAAGTGGGGCCGACTTTTCGTAAGATAAGATCACTTGAGCCCTAGGCCCAGCACTACCCGCCAAGCCCCTCACGTAAGGCCCAAAGAGGAGGGCACCTATAACGGCTTCACAGCACTGCCCAGAAGCCGAGCTCCCACTAATGAATTCTGCTCATGCGCGCTCAAGTTCCCTCCCGCTCCCCCTCCCCTTCCCCCAGGAAGGGGCGGAGAACAGAGCCAACTACTCAGAAGCTGGAACCTGTGGATTTTATGCCCCGCCCAGACCCGGAAGATTTGCAGACACCCCCTCTCCCCCACCGCGCCCCCACAAAACTCGTGCGCTTGCGTATTTCACAGCTCTGGGCGGAGCCAAGTGTAGAGCCTAGAGGTCTGTGGCTTTAGAAAGACTAGTGCTGCCCCCCAAAGCCGACACCGGGGAGGACCCGCCGTGAGCGAGGGCGCGTTAGGGGCTATCCTAGCTTTCTGGGTCGGCGGAACGGCCCCAAGGTAGACTTTAGACTTAGTGCTCCGAAGCCAATAGGAACGACATGAAGCCAGGCTGGCAGCCTCCCAGACTTGACGCTTAGCCAAAGCCAGGCTAAACCGCAGAAGCAGGAACCAAAGGACTAACCAACCAGAGGAGGCACCTAGCCTGGCTTTTGTCGTGATCCTTGCTGCAAAAGCTTGAGGCCCCGTATTAGGAAATTTTGTCAGTACAGGAAATGCAGAAATAGGTGCATAGGCCTGAGGCTGGAGCCCTAATAGTAGATACTTGGTGGAAGCCTACATTTCCAGAGCCTTGGAGAAGCCTTTGACTCTGCTAACCCAACCATGCATTGCATTCTTTGGAGAGATTATCACAGACTGCACCCCAAAAGTACCACCTCTAGTCTTGACTAGACCCCGGCGGACAAAAATAGCCCAGAGCACTTCCAGGCTAGGCAGGCAGCCGAGAGTTACCACGCGGGATTCTTGTCTCTCCTTACGAACCGCTATTTCTAGGCAGCCTTGTAAAGTACCTGTAACCTGGCAGCGGAGAGGTCGGTTTCTACAGAGAATCCCTGGCTTCACAAAAGTGAAAACCCTGGATTCCAGAGAGCTCAACAGTGTAGGGACGCAGCGTGGAGGTGTGGGGGTGGGGAACCAAGCGGAATGAAGATCTACTCCCCAACTCTGCCACCCATGCACTGTTACCTTTGGAGAAGCCCTAGCTAGCCCTCTCCCAATTTTAGGTTCCATTTGTCAAAAGGAGATGGTGCCGGATGATCCTATTCTCAAAAGACCATCTGAGATGAGGGAAGGCTGAGACCCTTTCTTTTTAATATATGCGCACACCGTGCCTGACTTAGGACTCGACACACCCATCGTTACTTAATAAATGTAACTGGCGCAAAAGCGCACCGATGGCGGGTTACCTCTCAAGAAACCCAGGCCTAAAAACGCTGGGCGATGCTCAGCGGCTTTCCGGTTTCCATGCACCCGCCCAACATTTTCGGCTCCATGGGCTCGGGAAATGAGACCTCTTTCTACGCGTTTTACCCATTTCAAACCCAAAGTTATTCTCCACCCTTCGGACCTATCATCTCCTTGTCCTGCATCCACTCGAGTTTCGATCCCCCGACTAGGTGCGACCCCCGGTTAGGTGCGATCATCCTCTCGGTTCCCCCGCGCGGCCAGAGGGCCACCACGCGCCCTCGGATCCTACTTGAGGCGTGAGCCACCACCCCCGCCTCCCGACAGCCTCCGGGAGGCAGCTCCTAAACGCACCATCATGCTCCTCCGAGAGCAAAGACCCCTCCCGCCAGCCGAGCGGGCCAAGCTAGGCCGAAGGTAGCTCGCTTCCCTGCACCCCCCAACACCGCCCCCCCACCCCGCGGCCGCCTGATGCGCGCCGGCCCAGGCGTACCCCGAGTGCACTTCGGACGGGCGTCGGTAGCACGCAGCGCTAGATCCGGACTTGAGGACAGCAGCTCCGGTTCTAGGAGCGGGCGCAGGAGGGGCCTTAAATGGAACCCCGAGACTGACGTCAGGGGGGGAGCCAGGCGGACGTGCGAGAACCCACGTGTGGGTTGGACTTGGGGCGGGCTCGGGCCGGGCGGGGCAGTGCGGCGCGCGCAGCCAGCCCACCAGCGGCGGGACTACCTACCCGCCCGCCGGCCCCTGCTGCCCTCGGCCACGAGGCTAAGGGGACTGCCCTCCTGCCGCAAAAGTCCAGGTCCGAGCTACCAGCAGCAGACTAGCCGAGCCTAAATTTCCCCTTTCGTAAACGTGGCGGTTACTCTGAAAAAACTTGATCTGAAGCCTCGCCGCCGCCGTTTCCTAGTGCCCAGAACAGCTTCTAGCACCGAACAGGCACTCCACCAATATTTATTGAAAGGAAGAAAGTGCTTAGCACGGCGACAGTCTGTCTTTCTTATCTGAATCGAACGATCTGCGAGTCTTGCCGCTGCTACCTCCACCCCATCTCTTAAGCCTTCCTAGTCCCACTACTAATTGGGGTGTCAGGTTCTCCAGTACCCTTCCCCTACTTCCACTCCCCGCTGTGCACCTTTTAATCCAACCACACCCAAGACTCGGGACGGGAGAAGGGGGGGTGCAGTGTCGAATGTTTGTTTTTAAAAGTTAACCCCAGTTCTTGTGTGCATAAATAATCCTTAAAAAAAATAAAACACTTAATCATATTCATTTTACGTTCGTGATTTTGCCTGGCTCGCCTTCCTCCTCCATCCCTTCCACCTATTTTCTGATACTTTTCCTCCCCTATTCCCCCCACCCAGAGTTGGTATCTTCCTCTTCTTGGCTTCCACCAGACGTATCAGTTTATCCTTCAAATCTTGCATTAGAGGTGTAGGTAGGAGCCTGCTGCCCTACCTGACAGCGAGACTATCAAAGGCTTGGGTTAATTACTTCCTCCCTGGACTAGGAGCGCCAATTTATTGCCCAGCTCTGAGAACGATTCACTACGGTGGGAGGTTTGGTTTTTGAACCTCAACCTCTGGTCCAGAAAAAGTTTTCCCATCAATTCTCAAAGACCCAGAAGGGCTGTGGGCCTGCCACAGATTCTCCAGAGTTCCTCAGGACAGGCCAGATGGCAACAGTATCTGTGGTTCTTCAGTGTTTGCGACAATGTCCTCATTCAGCCCTGCCAGGGCCCTCATCTGTCCTTTAGGTGTGACCACAGCTGCTGGGAGGTGTAGGAGGAGGAGGGCAGAGCTCTGAGAGGGGAAGTTAAGTTGGGGAGTCATCTGGTTACTCAGCAGGACTCTGCACTGACCACAGAAGATAATCTAGACAGACTTTGCACTCCCATAAAGTAGAGCCAGGCAACTACAGCTCACTTCAAGCACAGCTTCCCTCTTAGGTAGAACAACAGCCTCTATTTAAATACAAGTATGAATCAAACAGCACCATTAACAGAGCATCTCTGAGCCTTCAAGCAGCAGTCTAGGCAATCCCCATACTCATCTTCAGTTTCATTTATTTGGAGTTGGCATAACTGCCACCATTTTCCAGATGAGGAAATCAAAGCTCAGAGTCTAGGGATTTACCAAGAGCACACAACTGATAAATGACTTCACCTGATGCTATAACCCGGGCTGCTGACTAATTACAAAATATATAATCTTTTTTTCTCTATAAGATTTTCCTCCCTCTCTGGTGGTGCAGGGGTTAAAGACACAGCTTTTTCAAACTATCTCCAGCCACTGCAACATGAATACAATGCCCCCACACACACACACACACACAAGACACACACCAGCTGGGAGCTGACCCACACCGCACAGCAGACCTCTCCTGTCTCACCCACTACTCCCCTCAGAACTGTATTTCAGTCAGCCTGCCTATTCTGCTCCCTACTCTGTCTTTGGTGAATGCTCTCACACCAGCCCCCATCTTTGGCCTACACCCCAGTTCTTGTATGCATGAATAAATAGATCTTAAAAAAAAAAAAAAGAATGTTCCTCCCTTATTCCCCTACAACCTCCTACTCTCACAAAGGTCAAGAAATTATGTAGGGGGCCCAAGAAATTATGTAGGGGGCCCAGGCTCACTAACTTCACTTTTCAGTGGGTTTCCATGGGTATTTCTGTTTGAACTGAGCTTTGGGTCTCATCCCCTCAGGCTAGGATTTACACCATTGGCACTCCTGCTAAACAGGCCTTCAGACTTGGACTGGAATTGACACCACCTCCTTTCCTGGGTCTCCAGTTTACACAGCAGATCATGGGATTTCGACTCCATAATCACAGGACTCAATCGTTTATTATATGTACATTATACACGTATTTTGTTTCTCTGGACAACCCTGACTAATACAGAATAAACTGAAGAATTTCTGTATAAAAGCCAAGCAGAGGGTTGGACCCATGGAATGAGTCAGGCAACACTGTTTCAGAGGGCAGAACACATGTCTCAACCTGATCACTTGTTCTTTGGGGATGGTCTCTTTGAAAAGGAAAACTTTTACAAAGGCAGTTAAATAAGAGGACAGACAGGCCTTACAGAATGGGCAGGGTTAGCAACCCCATTTAAATTTCCCTAAAATGAACCTTACCAGAGAATGGTGTCCACTCCAAACAATGCTGAGTTATATTCCTTCATTCAGTAAGAATTTGTTACTTTTCTGCAAAGCTTGCATGAGCTCTTCGTGATCCCATGCCACATCTAGTTTTTTTTCATGCTTTCTGTATGCCAGTCTCAAGTCTATCTACCATGTTCCCCAAGTGTGGCAAGCATTTTCACCGAGACTTTTTTTTTTTTAAGATTTTATTTATTTATGCATACAGAACTGGGGTACAGGCCAGAGGTGCAGGGGCAGTGAGAGAATTCACCAGAGACAGAGTGGGGAGCAGAACAGGCAGATCAACACTGTTGAGGGGAGAAGCAGGCGGGTCAGGAGAGGTCTGCCGCGCCATGTGGGTCACCTCCGGGGCAGGCGGGGATTGAACTCATGTGAAAGTGGCTTTAGCTTCTTAGAGCTATGCGTTCACCTGCTGCACCACCAGGGAGGGCCCCTGAGACAATTTTTTAACCTGAATGTTCTCTGCTTTAGTATCCTCCTTGCCACACATAGCCCACATATGGATAGCTCAAGTGCTATTCCTTGGGCTTTATATTAAATTAATCCTTATAGCTGTACATCTTTTCTCACTAGGCTATATACTCCTAATGGACAGAAACTTTCACTTTTTATGACATTTTAATAGGGCAGGTTTATTAGGAAAAGGAGAAAGAAAAAAGAGACACCTACAAAAACACAGGTGGGTGGGGTGCTGCTGCTGCTGCTTTGCAAAGGTAGTTCTGTGGAAAGAATGACTAGAGAATCGCAGGTGGCCAGGGGAGTGGTCCCATCTGTTTGATAAATGTATTTTGAATGTAATGACTGTTACTTAAAGGTGCTGGGTGTCGGGAATACAAAATGATTAAGATAGTTTTATATACCTTTAAAGGCGTTACCATTTGGTGGGGAGTGGCCAGCAGCATCCACTTCTGTAATTAAAATGCAACACAGAGGGCCCTCCCTGGTGGCTCAGCCGGTTAAAGCACAGCACTAAGAAGCTAAAGCCACTTCAGCATGCTCCGGAAGTGACCCACATGGCATAGCAGGCCTGTTCTGACGGGCCCTCTGCTCCCCTCAGCAGTGTACTTCCTCGATCTGCCTGTTCTGTTCCCCACTCTGTCTCTGGTGAATCCTCTCACCCTCTGCATCTCTGGCCTGTACCCCAGTTCTGTATGAATAAATAAATAAATCTTTTTTAAAAAATGCAACATAGAAATACAATACTGCCCCCAAAGAGAGAGAGAACACTGCTCTGCCATTCAGAGGAGAGAGCAGGCCTTTAGCCAAGGATGCCAGGGAAGAGAGCATCTGAACTCCACCTAGAAAAATACTCCAGTTGTTAAAGAATAGAAGTTGAGAAAACAGAACACAGCAAGAGCAAATGTATGGAAGAAGGAAACTCAAGGCGTCCCTGGTGAATCTTTTGCTTTAAATGCCAGGCTAAAAAAAATAGGGAGGGGCTAAAAAAATAAATTAAGATTTATTTTTAATAAATCTTAAAAAAAAATAGGGAGGGTTTTGTGTTTTGGTGATCAGCAGAAGTCAATGAGGATTTTGGAGAATGGGAGGGATAGGGCAAAAGAAGGGAAGTTGAGTTCATGGGAAAGGGGAGCACCTTGTTTTGTAATACTGCACGACAAGAGGTTTAGAACAGCAGAGCAGACCTCTCCTACCTGGCCCACTACTTCTCTTAGCAGTGTATTTCAGTAAATCCCCCTTTCCTGTTCTCCACTCTGTGAATTATTTCACTCCATGCCTCCGGCCTACTCTCCAACTCTTCCTCTCCTCCCCCCCAAGTCTCGGCCCTAACTCCCCAAGTTCTTCTAGGTGCTAGCTCTACTGCTACCGTTCTTAGCCACTCCTCCAGACTGGGTGTATCCTCAGTAGTTAATTGCTGCCTCTGTTTCCCATTTTGTCTTGGACTGTCATTCCCTCCGTAGTTGATTCCTCACATGATTTGCTAACAGAATCTACCTCAGAAACCCTAGATGCCCCTTGCTACAGAGAGAATGTTTGTGTCCTCCCTCAGCCCTCAGTTCATATGTTGAAACTAACCCCTAATGGAATGGCATTTAGAGGGGGGCAATCAGGATGTGATTAGGTCATGAAGGTGGAACCTTCATAAAGATAGGGCCCTTATAAAGCAGAACCCTGGCCCTCTCTGCATCTGAAAAGTGAAATATAGCTCTCTGAACTTGGAAATGAGCTCTCACAGACACCTGCCAGAGCCTTGGTCTTGAAGTTCCCAGTTTTCAGAACTGTGAGAAATTTTATTGTTACAAGCTACCAGCCTTTGGCATGTTGTTATAGCAGTCTGACAGATGCCCTTCCATTCACTTCCTACCATTAGGAAGAAATAAAAGTTTTCCCCTTTTCTCTATATACACCCCCGGCAGGGAGTTAGGCCTCAATTTTCCATCTATTTACAGGTTCCATGGTAAAAACTAT